ATGACTTATCCCATCTTACAAAAAAAGTGTTCTTTTTAAGAGAAAATTTCATACTATGTACAGACTGAATAGCCAACAATACACATGATGATCAGATGGCATGCACAGATGTGCTGGCTGATCTTAGTGTGCACTCATCACATTACCTACAACAACCTAAAAGTCATGTTGAAATTCTTATACAAGACATTTAATGTTAAATAGATGTTAAAATCCCAATTAAAGTTTGCCTCTTATTATAACTATGCTTTTACATTGAACAGTCACAAAAGAAGTGAATTATAAGTTCACTAACATTCAATATGGTTGTGTTTCCATGTAAACAGTATTTATCAATGCCAAAACTGTTCCATGAGGGCAATTTGGTAAAGTGCAATTCTGTGCAAAAACTGGAGTTCCCAAAGTTAGCTATTGAATTCAAACCCCTTGACAATACGGCATTTAGCTGAAATAGCAACAACAATATTAAAACTGAAGCATCTGCCATTTGTTTTTGCTAGTATATTAAGTCTTGTCTGATAACAAATTAAATATTGTAAATGTTAAATATTATAAATTTTATTTATCAAATTATGATTTCTTCACTTTTTTATCAGTTCTTTAATACTACAAGACTGGAAGTTGCACAACAAGGCAACTTGGTATAATATTTTCAGCAATGGTTTAGTGAAATGAAACAATAAACTGTAGTGTCTGAAGCTATTGCAAAGGGCAGTACATTGACCCAACAATAGTGATCATGCATTCTAGTGACCTTCTAGACATGATGAGCTGTCAATCAACATAACCAATTAACTTAATTAAACTGTTCTTTATAGTATCACAAAGTTCTGGTCAGCAATGATTAGTGGACAGTCTGTAATTTTATACATGACTGGCCATGTAAGGGGTAAAAATAGAAATGCATTCTTATTTGATAAAATCTAAGGTCTGCCACTCTAGAATTCAATAAATGAAGAAATTTGAGCTGAAAAATAAATATCATCTTTCGAAGCTACAATTTGTAGTCATTGGTTTATTTAAAACCATAAATATATTGTAGTCTGCTCACTTTTATTATTTGATACTAACATCACTGAAAACTACTAATGGACTGTTTCAAACCAAAAGCTGGGCAAGACCATCACATGGTTTTGTTCTATATTCATCTAAATGGTAAAATTATCAATACCTTTTCAATTCAAATTTGTTTTATTAAATTAAGAAATAAGCACATAATAAATTAGCCATATGTTCATTACAACTACAAAATCAGACCTTTTTATTATGTTTTTCTACTTTCTGCTGTATTTATATTGTATGAACATGGTATTACTCTTTACAAAGTTCTTAAAAGTTCCATCAACTATATACTTGTCACATCTTGTGGACTAAATGGACCTACATCTTCTCAAGCCAATGTTTTATATAGGATTCAAGTTCAATTGGAGTCATTACCTTTACATTGTATATATCATAATACAAGATCAGTACTGGGATGTTTGCAGTTAATGTATTTTCTGCTGAGTAATCAATATTCTTTTCATGCAAATACAGTTATTTATATCTTTTTCCAATCTTCACTTGTCTAAATGAGTTATTTTGCAAACATTGTGAGGTGCAAGAGTTCATAAACTTAATCAGGTAGCTTTCAAGTCTCATGTCTATCTATTCTGTCTATCACCCTCAACATTGCTGAATGCGAAACAATAATTACCTCCCTTGTCAAAATATGCTTTACCACCAAACATCAAATAAATAGCTATCTTACAAACATCATGGTTTCTACATATATATATTCTCTAATGATGATTTACTGACAGGAAACATCTATCTAAGAATGGAAGATGACTGTTACACGCCTTCAAGTAATTTTTTTAATTTACACAATATATCCATAAAATGACATCTTCTTGGCCCTTTCTGTCAAACTTTGAACACAATAGTAAGATTACATAGAACAGAATGATACCGTACTTTGTCTAACCTACACTAAGAAACTAAACATGTAAACAAATAGTAATTTAATGCTGGAATTTGATGACTAAGTTTTTTTCCAATGTATCAAGTATAAGTCCACTTAAATGATATAAAAGTAAATGACTGATTTTGCAGTATTAATATCACCAAAATTATTTCTACTTAGTAACACAGTAGAGCTATTTTAGCATAATTCAACCTGTTTTTGGTAATTAATGTGGATTGTCAGTACTGTTTTCAATGTGTAAAATATTTTCTTAGTCAACTTCATAATATTTTACTTTTAAATAAATTTTCAAAATTTTCACGAAAATTAGCATATATTAGCATGCAGCTTTAACGCTATATCCCCACTTTAAAGTAGCTATAAGCCTTTACAAACAGAAACTGGTATTTGCATTGTAGTAAAACCATCCACACTGACCACAAACTTATGTCATATCTATTATCTAGGATTAATTGTGGGCAACAATCACTGCATAATTGTTATTTGAAGAACATTTAAACCTCTTTTTGTCATTATGTTTGCACAAAAATTTACATGAAATACCCTAATTCAAACATTAAATTCCACATTCAATGGTTAAATACCAAAATTCAAGTTAATGGGTATTTAATTGAATGTAAACAAAGAAACAATACATTATATGCTATTGAGCTATTTGCATGAAAAATCATATAATTATGTAAAGTTGGGAAGAAACTTTTATATCCATGCTTAGAAAATGAAGTATTTTCTAATTTGGGGAAATAAGTGAAGCAGAAAAGGCTTTTAGGATTATCTGCCCCTAAAAATGCAAGTAGCCTGACTTTTTAGAAATGAATTTCAATTTAAAAACTGAAAAATATCCCAAAAATTTGAAGTGATTAACTTTGACAACTTTTGAGAAATTTACCTTTATTAGGAGAAAAAACTTAAGTCTTCAAAGAGGCATAAAGGCATAACTTTTAGGATTATCTGCCTTTCTAAAATGGTGTCATATTTTGATGTTGAAGATAAATATAAAGTTTGAAGTTAATTACTTACATAGTTACTTAGAAAATGGGCCATAAAGTGTCATGTTTATAATTAATGTACAATAACAAACAAAAAATAAATTTTTTTGTCTGGAACCATTATTAAAGTTGTAAAAATGACAATTTGTGCAAAATCCATGCTGTATGACAAAAGCTCTTTACTGTTTGCACCATAAAATTTATCATCTCCCTAATGAGATTTGAACAAGTTACTTAAAGAAATTCAGCAGGCTACAGTGTAGGCCTTGGCCTTACATAAGCTTTATTTAGGTAACTCAGCAGATTGTGTGAGAACATACCCTACAAGTCTATTTCCGAACTGGTCTAGTAATTTTAGTTATAATCTTGAACCCTTGAGTTTCAGTAGGTCTCAAATGTAGATAAATTTATTCTTCCAATCAAATTATTTGATCAAATTATGCATTTTTCAGACACTAATCCTACTGCACAGACTTTATTAATTTCCTGCATACTAGAATATGGTTTGGCATTATTCATTTTCTATGAAAACAATTGCCCATTATTTCAACTTGTTCCTAATATAATCCTATTTCAGCCAGAGACTTTCTTTATCTATACAGAACACCAGACACAATTCTTCAAACAGCACTCTAAATCCCCATGTCATAACTTTCAGATAATACAATATTATTATCTCCCTTTATTAATCATAATTTTAAAGAAAAAGGATAATTATCTCCCTTTTATTGGTCACTAAAGAGATAATCAAAGTTAACAGTGAGATAGCACCAATAAGGTGTAGTATTATCTGACAGATTACCTGACATATACACTCCAGGTGGTGGAGTATTTTCAAAACATTGTTTCAATAAATAAATATTCAGGTATTAGTGGTCTATTTGGAAACTTTTGTTTATTTTGATCACTCACCAAATGGTTTCTGTTGTAGGGTTTACAAACTATATACAAGTACAAAACAGCTATCCTTGACTTTCACCTAAATGTTGTGTTGTAGAATATCTGTGGTTATCTAAAGGACTACAGAAAAATTCAAATTTCTCAAAAAAGGCTATTTCCCTACATTCAAGATTTGCTGTCCAGATTAACATACTACCAAACATCAAGTTGCCTTAATTAACATTCAGGTCTAACATGCTCTTAAATTTTATAAACAATGGCAGGAGTATGAAGTTAATTACATGCCTCAACAGTTTCTCCATCATAACATTCTAAAATTTCAATCAGTTGACCTTTAAATGACCATGAAATGAGTTCTGACCACACACCACATCTCCCCTGACCATATACATTTGTATCTGCCAATGTTACAACAGTTTTTTATGATCATATATGACAATATCTAATCAGACTGGCATGCGGCCTCTCTATGATTTATTACACAGCCCTCTATAATGTTTATTGCCCAATGTTCAATATTCATCATCTTTACTCTTTTTTTTCCATTCTCTTAAAGACCTTTCCTAATATAGCTGGCGTATTCTCAAATAGACTAACTCAAATCAACAACTAAAATTGACAGAAATTTTAAACTGACTCAAATTTTCATCAGTTTTATGTGTAATTGAAAGCAACATTATACTAACTGAAGGTACCTATTGACTCAAAATGACAGAAGCTGTTCATTGACTCAAATTTACAGCAGTTTTATAATTATAACACATAACTTGAAGACTTATAAAGGTATTTTTCTATATAATTATGATGATTGTCTCAAACATTAAATGACAAAACTGAAGACTCACAATAAGCAACGAGGTTTGTATGGTCAAGCATAACTATACGCTTATGCATGATCCTATGAAAAAATATACAAGATGCTACTTAATGCCTTCTTGTTTAAAATCCAGAAAGTATATCTTGCAGAAACATGCAAAAACAACCTCTTACAAGAAAAGTCATATCAATTATATATATAACATACTGACTGACATAGATATTAAATGTACAATATCAGCTAAAAATAACAGGTTTTCCATTTATTTACATTCAGTCACAGTAACACATAAAATCATTAGGTCAAGATTTTAATGAATAATACCAACCTTTTCTTTGTTTGATACATCAGTCGCTTGTGGTATGCCAGCTTCTTTCCTCAATCTTGTTACAAAATCTTCAAACTGTCTATTTAGCTGTTCAATATTTCCATTTTTTGTTTTTCCATTATGTTTTTCAACAAGCCTAATCCTCTCTGAATTATTTCCATTTTTGCTATATTCAAGCTTCACTTTTTCACATTTTCTGTAGTGTGTCAATGGTACCTGTCCTACAGGCTGCTCTTCTGTATTTTTTGAAACGGATATATTCTCGACATATTCCTGTCCATTTGTTGTCATTGTCACTTCTTTAATACCTTTCCTTTTTTCACCATCTGCACCATATTTGGCAGAATCATACCTTGCAATATTTCGGCATACTTCAGTTTTACTTTTTGTTTTATTGCCATCTTTCCTGGCCTCTTTTGATTTTTCTTTCTTTAATTTCTTTAAATTAAGAGATTTCTGACTTTCTCTGTCAGGTTCACTCCTAACCAAGGTGTAAATTTGACCATGTCCATTTATGTAAGATTTGTCACCATTCTGATGTTGATGATGAATTCCATTTTGTTGATCCAATCTGCTTGAAGATATTTGCCCCATATTTAATGTAAGTATTATTCCTCAAATTGATTTCTGGTGCTTTTACACCTTTTTTATTTCCAACCTATTGAAAAACATTATTCAATAGGTCTATTCTTTCTATCTGTTAGATACCAGCCTGATTATTTCCATCTTTATCTCCTTAACCACTAAAGTGACATTTACAGTTTTATTGCAGATATTCAATATGCACTATAAATATACAAAAACAAACAATAATATTTGGTCAACATAATATAACTCTCAATTTCTTTCTCCTTTACATTGATTAACCTTGTTTTATCAGAACTGTGTCTCCCAAAACTATGTATAGATTTTCTCCCTGGAATATTGTTCTGGCAAACATTTGATGCAAAAATTAAAATCAAGCACCCCTGTAACTTTAGAAAACTCCTGCAGACACAAAAAGGGGGGAAAAGTCATTGAAAATAATTCCAGCATTTTGACAATTTCCAAATCATGTATCAATTTATAAAACTCATAAATCTTAGCAACAATACAGCTGATTTTCATCTTCTGACCTTAGGGAATATACAATCAGAAACCCAAACTGTTTTCTCTTTGATGGTAATGTAAACATAGTTAGAATCATATTGAACCTAATCTATAATGATGGAAAAAAACATGTGCCAAACTAATTATCAGATTGTTCACATGTCACTTGCTTATTCAAAACAACAAACATGTGATATGTGTTTGTTTAAATTAGAACATCTACCTTAAATTTTCAACACTGTTTTTTTCTATCCATGACAAGCAAACAAGTCTGTTTACTTTGATATAATTAAACCTCCATTTCCATACTCAAACAACAATTTCAGAAAAATTTGAACAGTAGTCCTAAACATAGCAGAATCTCAATACTTCTGCTGTTGACCCAAATCGCCAACTATAGGTACTATATGAATTATTTATCATGCGAGAAAATGAGAGAAGATCATTATTTTCAATGTCAGTATCATTTTATTTTAGAAAAGTGAGAATCTTATAATACTAGCAGCAGGAAAAGTTGACAAGAAAATCCTGATTTACGGCCATATTTGATTAAGCTATCACAGAAAGATAATAGAGGTTTCCTATTATTTCTTGTCTAATGGTCATAAAGCACCATGTTTATTTTGTCATGAAAATGATTATAGCTAAAAAATCATAATAGCACCTTGATATATGAACTAATCTTTACAAAAAAAGAAAAAATATATTAAGCTAAGTATCATAAAAATATAAAAATAGGTTTTACTTTCCATCTCTCCCTTTAACATGTCTGGAAGGAATAAGAAATGGTGCATGGTCACACCTCTGTTCATGACATATTTTCATAATTTCTTTATATTTCCATATTAAAAATTATAATTTCGCCTTAAAATTTATTATTTCGCCCTAAAAGTATTTTTACATACAAGCCAGGTAATAGAATAGTTTTCCTTTTATTTTCATGTTAAAGTATACTTTATATATTCCTTACATTTTCATGTAAAAGTACAAAATTTACCCTAGGGGAAACCTTTCAAGCACATTTTGTTCCTGTATATTGATACACAATTATCACTTAGCTTACTCCATGTTGTTATTTCTGTATCTAAAAAAAAACAAAAAGCACTGTGTTCTTCAATATTTTCTCCTATTTTTGTCCCTACAAATATACACTAACAATCATCAATTAACAGGTTCCTCTCTGTGTCTATTGTTCTCTTACTTGTAGTGCTATTTGTTTTATATATGTCTAGTAATGTAGATAATGCTGCCACAATAATGAGCAGCTAATCCAGTGGCTTATTGACAAGTAAATGCAGTCATCTGAATAAATAAGTTTGACCATCCCCACAATATCCTAGAAAATCTTCTCTCAACTTTAGCTAGCAAATAAAAACTGCTGAAATAACACCATAATATGTATCTGATATACCATGCTTGGTGCAATAAATGCCCCAGTTTTACAAAATATTTTCTCTTTAATTCATTATGCCATAAGATGTTTATTTTTCAAAGAAATACAATGCCCTTAATTAAGGGGATCCTTTACCCTAGTGACCTTTACCTTTGACTTGTAACATCTAAGTGGGTCTGGCAGGTGGACTTCACAACATAATACTTACAAATACATTTTCAAAAAATTTATGAAAATTAGTATTTGATCTGCTGCTTTAATACATGAATATTGAAAATCTATTTTAATATAACCAAGGTTAAAATGCTCTCCTCAGACAAAACAACACTAACAACATCAGTATCTGTAGCAACGTTGTACAAAATGCAAAATACAACAATTTGTTGCGAAAGATTTGATCATGTGTACTTAATTAATTTTTCTTTAATTCTTTTATTCTTCAATAGAACTTTGATATTCTTCCAATGAGAAATTAAAGAAACATCATTTATTCTGTTGGTAAAATGTCTTAAAGAGTAATGTATTTTATTGTCTAATATGAAATCAAAGTGCTACTATAAAGGCCTTTTTATCACCAGGAAAACTTCAGAGGTGATTAAAAATACTGAGTTTCATAATCAGACAAAAATATTTTCTGGTTTTCTACTATATCGAAAATAAATGACATCTTTCTCAGTAATTTGAAATAACTCTCCTTTATTTCCCTCATAGTGTTGTCATTTTGATTTCTATTTCATTTTAATTTTTTTTTGTTGTTTATTTATTTTTCTTGACTAGCTAAAATAAAATGAAATTGACTAATAATGAACTTGCATAATTATAATTATATAATTTGGTGTTTTATTTGGAGTAAATATGGTATTCTGGTTATATAAAAATCCCATGTGGAATTTATGGCCAAATATCATGAATACATATGTAGTTATAGATTGATCAATATAAAAACATAAACAAATTTTATGACATGAAATGTTAGAATATCCAACAGGCCAAGTTGAAAGAAATTAATTTATATTCTACACAAATTACCTTATGTTATATACAAACTAATTCATATTCTACACAAATTACTTTATTTTATATACAAACTAATTCATATTCTACACAAATTACTTTATTTTATATACAAATTAATTCATATTCTACACAAATTACTTTATTTTATATATAAATTAATTCATATTCTACACAAATTACTTTATTCTATATACAAATTAATTCATATTCTACACAAATTACTTTATTTTATATACAAATTAATTCATATTCTACACAAATTACTTTATTTTATATACAAATTAATTCATATTCTACACAAATTACTTTATTTTATATATAAATTAATTCATATTCTACACAAATTACTTTATTTTATATACAAACTAATTCATATTCTACACAAATTACTTTATTCTATATACAAATTAATTCATATTCTACACAAATTACTTTATTTTATATACAAATTAATTCATATTCTACACAAATTACTTTATTTTATATATAAATTAATTCATATTCTACACAAATTACTTTATTTTATATACAAACTAATTCATATTCTACACAAATTACTTTATTTTATATATAAATTAATTTATATTCTTCACAAATTACTTTATATTCTCAAGAAATAAGTTATATTTTACAAAATTATTAAAAGGCTACTGAATACTCACAGTTTTCTACAAAATCTCAATGAACCTGACAGAGAAATTCAAGTGCAAATATTTTCAAGTGCAGTGCTTTTATTACCAACATATAGTTGATGATTTTATGCTAAACAGTAACAGTTGTGAATAATCTTATGTCTATTTATGTCATATATATACAATGCTTTTTTCACTGTGGTCAGCACAATGACCTTAATAATAAGTCCAGCCCTGACTTCACAGATAATGAGTAGGCTAAAGAGAGGTCAAAAATACAATTACCAGGAAATAAAAACAAAAGTGTTTTAGTCAGGAAATGCCTAAAATATCATTTCTATTCATCCAAAAATGCCAAAATGTCCTTTCCTTCTCCTACAATTATTGTAAATTTAAACAATAGCACAGAATTCAGTGTTAATTAACGCTTGTCTATTAAAAATTCTAAATGGAATAACTCCAAAAATATTGCTTTAAGAATTATGCCCCTTGTCTAACAACTGCACACTGTCACTCCAAGTTTCATGTTGATATCTTTTTGAAATGTTAAAATAACAGGTAACATTAAAGACTAAAGTTTTTGCACAACTACAATGACAACTACAATGACAACTACAATGACAACGGTGCCATAACAATCATAATAGCTTGACTTTTTCTTGGACAGGACAAAGCTAAAAAAGAAAAGGTGAGAACATTTGATGAACCAAATTATCTATCAATCATTGTGACTATAGAAATGAGGATATGTAAACCTGAACAAGACGGCCATGTTGGCCTTTAACTGCTCATCTTACGATATGGTTTACATGGACAACATTGAACTAACAGAATATTCCTTGTTCAATTTGAGCAATTTAGGACTACGAATACCTAATGATCATTGCTGTACATTTACATCAAAATCTACCAAGTGATAGAAGGGGGAAATGTCGCTTCAGGTTTGTTTGCCATACCTGAACAATTTTAGTAAATTTAGCGAAGAACTATCTTAGGATCATTAAAATCTTCTTAGTGGTAGAGATGTCATTTTAAGGTATTTGTATTTTTAGCTCTGACGTCATCTTGTTCAGCGAACCCTAACCATTTGACTAATTTATACCAAAGGATTATTCCTGTAAAGTTTCATCAATGCCAGACAACTGACAACTGACCACCAGTTTACATGGGTAAACAATTTTTTGACATACTTATGTGACCATTAGATTACCTTGGTAAACAACCAGTTGTTAACATGGGTAAACAACTTTTGACATATGACTGTAACAACTTTTTTCTGAATACGTAAACAATATTTCACAAAAATAACAAGGAGGGTGCATAACTTTTTTCATACTAAAGTAAAGAATTTTTAATGTACGACTATGACCAGTAATTTTAATGAAAACAATTTACGACCTGCAACTCGGTCCAATGCTTATGTGCTGAATTAGAGACACTGGATGTTATTTTCTCTCTTACAGTCATATTGTAATCACTGTCTGTCAGTTACACAGCTTCCAGTGAGAGGCAAAGTGTGGTGTAAAATGATCAGTGTTCGACCATTTTTGTGTCTTAAAGTAATTTGGATGGCTTCCTCACTGAGAATGACTTAAACAAGATTACACATCTATTAACGAAATTATCTAGATTAATTTAGATTTATAGTAACCATAACCATGGCAACAAGTTTTTTTATTGGTTACTTCAGATTGAAAACTACAATTCTTCCAAAAAAATAATGTGAAATACCTTTTATAGAATTATTTTCAGTCTATATTTTTTTCCTCTTCTGAGTGAAATTCATTTCAAGCTAAAATTTTGCTTTCACTAGTGCATTCAGAAACTCAGCGAATGTGGAAATTTCCCACCTAATCAAGGGCTTACTCTATTTATTCAAGCTGAGATTATTTCCGCTGCCGATTTTTGTATTAGACCTTTCTTTTTCGTACATACTGTCAAAAACTAGAATAGGTTTTTGTCACAATAATATGTCTCTCAAAGCTAGGTATGGTACTGATCACTCCTGTGAAAGCTGGACAAGAATATTATATTTATAGCTCTGGAGGCCATTTTATGCAGCAAAGGTGAAAGTCCCGGTGATTTGCACAACTAGGAATGATCCATGGGAGTTTGAGATCAAATATAATCCGCGGGAGTTTGAGATCAAATATAATCCGCGGGAGTTTGAGATCAAATACAATCCATGGGAGTTTGAGATCAAATACAATCCGCAGGAGTTTGAGATCAAACACAATCCATGGGAGTTTGAGATCAAATACAATCCACGGGAGTTTGAGATCAAATACAATCCACAGGAGTTTGAGATCAAATATAATCCGCGGGAGTTTGAGATCAAATACAATCCGCGGGAGTTTGAGATCAAATTCAATCCACAGGAGTTTGAGATCAAATACAATCCATGGGAGTTTGAGATCAAATACAATCCGCAGGAGTTTGAGATCAAACACAATCCATGGGAGTTTGAGATCAAATACAATCCGCAGGAGTTTGAGATCAAATACAATCCACAGGAGTTTGAGATCAAATACAATCCACAGGAGTTTGAGATCAAATACAATCCGCGGGAGTTTGAGATCAAATACAATCCATGGGAGTTTGAGATCAAATACAATCCACAGGAGTTTGAGATCAAATACAATCCGCAGGAGTTTGAGATAAAATACAATCCACAGAAGTCCCAGATGAAGTACAATCTGTTGGAGTTCCAGATCAAGTACAATCCCTGAGGGTTCAAGATTTACTACATTATGTCCGGGAGTTCAAGATAAAGTACAATACGGGGGAGTTCCAGAGCAAGTACAATAAGGGGGAGTTCCAGATAAAGTACAATATGCGGGAGTTCCAGATAAAGTACAATATGTGGGAGTTCCAGATAAAGTACAATATGAGGAAGTTCCAGATAAAGTACAATATGAGGGAGTTCCAGATAAAGTACAATACCCGGAAGTTCCAGATAAAGTACAATATGAGGGAGTTCCAGATAAAGTACAATATGAGGGAGTTCCAGATAAAGTACAATATGAGGGAGTTCCAGATAAAGTACAATATGAGGGAGTTCCAGATAAAGTACAATACCCGGAAGTTCCAGATAAAGTACAATATGAGGGAGTTCCAGATAAAGTACAATATGAGGGAGTTCCAGATAAAGTACAATATGAGGGAGTTCCAGATAAAGTACAATACGCGGGAGTTCCAGATAAAGTACAATACCCGGGAGTTCCAGATCAAATACAATTCACGGAAGTTCCAGATTAATTACAATGATCACGAGTTCCTGATAAAATACAATATCCGGGAGCTCCAGATAAAGTACAATACCCGGAAGTTCCAGATAAAGTACAATACCCGGAAGTTCCAGATAAAGTACAATATGAGGGAGTTCCAGATAAAGTACAATATGAGGGAGTTCCAGATAAAGTACAATATGAGGGAGTTCCAGATAAAGTACAATATGAGGGAGTTCAAGATAAAGCACAATATGAGGGAGTTCCAGATAAAGTACAATACCCAGAAGTTCCAGATAAAGTACAATATGAGGGGGTTCCAGATCAAGTACAATATGAGGGAGTTCCAGATAAAGTACAATATGAGGGAGTTCCAGATAAAGTACAATACCAGGAAGTTCCAGATAAAGTTCAATATGAGGGAGTTCCAGATAAAGTACAATATGAGGGAGTTCCAGATAAAGTACAATACGCGGGAGTTCCAGATAAAGTACAATATGAGGGAGTTCCAGATAAAGTACAATATGAGGGAGTTCCAGATAAAGTACAATACGGGGGAGTTCCAGATAAAGTACAATACGCGGGAGTTCCAGATAAAGTACAATAGTGAATACCCGGGAGTTCCAGATAAAATACAATTCACGGAAGTTCCAGATTAATTACAATCATCACGAGTTCCTGATAAAATACAATATCCGGGAGTTTAAATGCAATCCAATTAAATGCAATCCATAGTGGCGGTGTGGCCAAGTGGTTAACCCATCAGACTAGTAATTTAAGGATTGCTGGCCACATGGGATCAGATCCCTTCAGGGGCAAGCCGTTGTTCCCTTGAGCAAGAAATTTTTAATTCATTGCTTAGTACATAATACAGGAACAAACTTGAGAGTGTTTCAATAACCTTTCAACACAGTCAAACTAAAAACTAAACTAAGAACAATTCCCGAGAGTTCCAGATCAAGTACAATCCTCACAAGTTCCAAATCAAGTAAAATCCCCGGCAGTTCCAGATCAAGATACTACTACAATAACACTATATTAGGGCAAGTTCATTATAATACATCAGAATGATGATTAATATAAGGAACTATTGAAAAACTTATGTCAAAATAAATTACTCAAATAATTATTTAAAGTATTGCATGAGCTGACATGAGAATAAATGTGAACTCTGATACATTTTGACAAAATACGTAACCAAGGTATGTTTCATCCTCAAACACAGCACAAACATGCCTTTGTAACATCCTCTTGTAAGTAACCATTATCTAATATTACACCCTAGGTATAATATAAATGTTTTTATTGCCTTGTAAATCATGCTACAAAGTTGTAGACTGGAAAAAGAAACCTTTACGTCCAGTAAAATATTTGGTCATTATAGCGATATATAAATGTGTATCATAAACACAAATTATATTTTAAGTTTCACAAATTGTGTACTAAATTAAATTATGTCTGTACAGAGTTAATATAGATAATTCAACATGTTTATTTACTCACAGTTACATTATTTTATATACACATGTACTATACATCATTTGCATCTGGGACATATGTCCCAGTTTGCATGTATCCAGAAAAAAACAAAAAAAAAGAATTTATCACTCCTTCCTAAAACTAAAAGTTTATATCCAACACAGCAAATTTCTTTCTATCATATTCCAGGGAGGTAAAATCTAAAAAGACTTTATCCTTTAATTTTTACAACACACCCCCATCTAAAATCATCAGTAAACACAAGTAATAAAACAAATATTAACCTTGTAGAAATGACCCCATCTTTATTTATGTTCTTAGACCCTGAATTTACTTGACCCCTGGGCTGATTGGCCTTGATAATAAAACCTGACAAAGAATTTATTCGTTTTTGATGTAGCCTCAAGTCACAAGGGGTCAATTAAGGGAGCACTTGCTGACAGGAAATCAGGTAATAAATGGGAGGATTTTTATTTCATGATAATTAATGGTAAAAAATAAATAGATTTTCTTCCATTCCTATCCTGTAGATATTAAAAAGATAAATCAAAACTCCAGTAATTAATATTTTATAGATTTATACATTGGAAATATTCTGAAATAGAACAACAACCTACCAATTCTAATTAATAATTACATTCTGATTGGGAAAATATTATAAACCAAACACAATACTCCTTTGTTAAAAATCCAAGTAAGCAGATCACACCTTTACTCAAATCCAAAAATATTCTCTTTTTCATATATATTTCCTATATTTTCACATATATATTTTTCACATTGATCAATAAATGGTTTTAAACACTTTCTTCTCCAAGTCCAGTACATTTCTGTTTACATTCCCTCGACAAAGTGTACATAAACTGATTTTAACTACATTTCCAATGATTCCTTTATTTTCTAAAACACTCCTTAAAGGCATTATGTCAGAGTAGAAAAAAAATATCTGTTGTAATAAATGATAAAGATCATGTCACAGTGTTGATATGATAAAACATACATGTTAAAAATCGTTATCTTCAAATCACCATGTACTTGTCAAACAGTCACCAGTTCCAATGTAGTTTCTATATATAGTAACACACTATCATAATATTGGTGTTATCTTTTAATTGATGGAATAATCAATATCCCTTATTTCATTTTCATTCTACTTATATCATACAGTATTATTTGTATTCTTTTTTCTTTATATCATTTATATTCTATTTTCAATTCAATACAATTGATCAAAATATCAAGACCCTTTATAAAGGAAACTTTCATTATTCAATATACAAATCAATGAGAATCTTATACCAAAGAAGTTTCAAAGATTAATGCCTTAAGTACAGTATTTGCATGCTGCTTTATTTCTTATCCTTTAAATCATACAGAGGAAAGTTATTAAAGTAGATGTAAAATACATCCACCATTACTTTAAGTCCAGTAAATCCAGTAAGTCTTCTATTCTGCATGCAAAATCATGCAGTCACACAACAATGCAAACAAATGAACAAACTGGACAACTAAAACTATCATTGACTAAGTCAGCTGCTAAATACATTGCTGTAACAAAAGCACTCGCACATGGCACGGCATGCGGTGTTTAAACCTGTCTGTAAAGGTCAACCAATTCCTATAAGTATTTATAGTTTAAATGTGGCATTACTCGTAAAGAATTGCTTTCTGATTAATGTCTTTTGTGCTAAAATTGTGCCTTGAAATGATAATCAAGTATTACATGTTTCATAATTATAGCCATGATAGTTAAGAAATCTTCCTTCTAATAAACAATCATGGCAAAATAGTTCTACTTTTTCTGTGGAAGTTTTTCTTTTAGAAACAAAAGAGGTAAATAATTATATATGGCAAGCTAATAAACTAATGTGAAAAGGAAACCCTGAAAACCAAACAAAAGTTACAAGTTAGCCTAATCTGACAGGTATTAAAAGGTCAGAGATTACTCTACTGTCCAGTATGATGAAACATTAGATAAAAGTAAACTAATTCCCCTAATCTAAACATATATTTCAGCAATTCCACTAATACTAATTCAATAATTTTATCTACTACATCTTTACACTAACAATAGAACATTTTACCTTCTAGGACAACATATCATATAAAGTGAAAAGAAAAACAATAACAACAACATACAAAATATCAGGACCTTTCATAACAGAAAAGTCCTTTATTAAATACAAATTTATTTCATATACAAATAAATGAAAAGCTAATACTAAAATTGTTTACATGATTAAAGTACAAATCGTTATAATTTCTGTTATAAATCATACAAATCAAAGTCATAAATGAAGATGTAAATATGTCCAACACTGAAAAAATCAAATAAATCCAGTTAGCCTTTTAAACTGCATGCAAATTTTGTAATTAAATGCATTGGCGAGTTTTACTTTGACACAGCTGTAATTAATAAAGGTGTAAATGTAATTATGCATATCCTTGATCATTGATCGCTGGCAAGTGATTACTAATATTAGTTTAGTTTGCTAACAGGCTCGATAATCAATATGAAAAAAGATTAAACTTTAGACAATCAGTGATAAAGCTCAAGGTGGGAAAGTTTAATGACATTTACCATCATGATATTATTATACATTGTTGTAATCTACCTGTTAACTGTCTGAAACATTTCCTTATCTCTTAGAAAATTGTATATGAAAAAAAATTTGTGGTGGCATGGCCGAGTGGTTAACGCGTCGGACTAGTAATCTCATGATTGCTAGCCGCATGGGTTTAAACCCCGTCAGGGGCAAGTCGTTGTTTCCTTGAGCAAGAAACTTTACACTCATTGCTCAGTACTGGTTGGTTCCAGGAACGGATTCGAAAGTGTGTCTATAAGCGTTTAGCTTCCTACACAATCGAACTAAAATAAATTCTGTATAAACCAAATTATAAATCATTTGTTGACCCATTTTTCCATAAGAAAAATCATTATTAACAAGAGCTGTCGGTAGGACAGCAACGCTCGACTATTCTTAGTGCTTGATAGTAAAAAAAATGCTTGATAGAGTTACCTCCTCCTGTTTACAGGTTGGGGTCATGATGGTGAACAAGTGTGCAAAGTTTCAAAGCCATATGTCAATGGACTTTGAAAATATTTGAACTATTACAAAAACTTTAACGTAAATTCTAAGTTGAAAAAGGGGCATAATTCTGTCAAAATGCTTGATAGAGTTACCTCCTCCTGTTTACAGGTTGGGGTCATGATGGTGAACAAGTGTGCAAAGTTTCAAAGCCATATGTCAATGCACTTTGAAAATATTTGAACTATTACAAAAACTTTAACGGAAATTCTAAGTCGAAAAAGGGGCATAACTCTGTCAAAATGCTTGATAGAGTTACCTCCTCCTGTTTCCAGGTTGGGGTCATGATGGTGAACAAGTGTGCAAAGTTTCAAAGCCATATGTCAATGGACTTTGAAAATATTTGAACTATTACAAAAACTTTAACGTAAATTCTAAGTCGAAAAAGGGGCATAATTCTGTCAAAATGCTTGATAGAGTTACCTCCTCCTGTTTACAGGTTGGGGTTATGATGGTGAACAAGTGTGCAAAGTTTCAAAGCCATATGTCAATGGACTTTGAAAATATTTGAACTATTACAAAAACTTTAACGTAAATTCTAAGTTGAAAAAGGGGCATAATTCTGTCAAAATGCTTGATAGAGTTACCTCCTCCTGTTTCCAAATTGGGGTCATGATGGTGAACAAGTGTGTAAAGTTTCAAAGCCATATGTCAATGGACTTTGAAAATATTTGAACTATTACAAAAACTTTAACGTAAATTCTAAGTCGAAAAAGGGGCATAATTCTGTCAAAATGCTTAATAGAGTTACCTCCTCCTGTTTACAGGTTGGGGTCATGATGGTGAACAAGTGTGCAAAGTTTCAAAGCCATATGTCAATGGACTTTGAAAATATTTGAACTATTACAAAAACTTTAACGTAAATTCTAAGTCGAACAAGAGCTGTCGGTAGGACAGCATGCTCGACTATTCTTAGTGCTTGATAGTAAAAAAAATGCTGATACAGTTACTCCTCCTGTTTACAGGTTGGGTCATGATGGTGAACAAGTGTGCAAAGTTTCAAGCCATAAATGCACTTTGAAATATTTGAACTATTACAAAAACTTTAACGTAAATTCTAAGTCGAAAAAGGGGCATAATTCTGTCAAAATGCTTGATAGAGTTACCTCCTCCTGTTTACAGGTTGGGGTCATGATGTTGAACAAGTGTGCAAAGTTTCAAAGCCATATGTCTATGGACTTTGAAAATATTTGAACTATTACAAAAACTTTAACGTAAATTCTAAGTCGAAAAAGGGGCATAATTCTGTCAAAATGCTTGATAGAGTTACCTCCTCCTGTCTACAGGTTGGGGTCATGATGTGAACAAGTGTGCAAAGTTTCAAAGCCATATGTCAATGGACTTTGAAAATATTTGAACTATTACAAAAACTTTAACTTTAAAAGGGGCGCTTGAAAGTTTCTCTAAGTTCTAAGTCAAAACTTAGAAAAAAAAGGGGCATAATTCTGTCAAAATACTTGATAGAGTTACCTCCTCCTGTCTACAGGTTGGGTTATGATGTGTGAACAAGTGTACAAAGTTTCAAAGCCATATGTCAATGGACTTTGAAAATATTTGAACTATTACAAAAACTTTAACGTAAATTCTAAGTCGATAAAGGGGCATAATTCTGTCAAAATGCTTGATAGAATTACCTCCTCCTGTCTACAGGTTGGGGTCATGATGGTGAACAAGTGTGCAAAGTTTCAAAGCCATATGTCAATGGACTTTGAAAATATTTGAACTATTACAAAAACTTTAACATAAGTGGTTACGCCGACGCCGACGCTCGGGTGACTGCAATAGCTCTACTTATTCTTATCGAATAGTCGAGCTAAAAAGGGGCATAATTCTGTCAAAATGCTTGATAGAGTTACCTCCTCCTGTTTACAGGTTGGGGTCATGATGGTGAACAAGTGTGTAAAGTTTCAAAGCCATATGTCAATGGACTTTGAAAATATTTGAACTATTACAAAAACTTTAACGTAAATTCTAAGTCGAAAAAGGGGCATAATTCTGTCAAAATGCTTGATAGAGTTACCTCCTCCTGTCTACAGGTTGGGGTCATGATGGTGAACAAGTGTGCAAAGTTTCAAAGCCATATGTCTATGGACTTTGAAAATATTTGAACTATTACAAAAACTTTAACATAAGTGGTTACGCCGACGCCGACGCTCGGGTGACTGCAATAGCTCTACTTATTCTTATCGAATAGTCGAGCTAAAAATTATAAGGGTTGCAACCCTTTTCACTAAAGTTGGGCCAAGAATCACGGAAAAAAATTCGAAAAATTCAATTTTATTTCGACTGTATTTATTTAATAACACTTGCTTTTTTTTCCATTTTACAGTGCTTCGCATCATGTATGTAAGAATTTTTAGGGCTTTATTTATTTTAATATATCAAAATAAAGTCAGTTGGTTGTTGAAAACAGACAGAGAGACAGACAGAAACAATATGTGCCCCCTATGATCAATTAAAGCACACTGACATATAAATTCAATATTGGAATTTCTTCAATGTTATAAACAACAGATTTCAATCTCTTATCTTATCATCACTTTTTATTGACCTCCTTATAACCACTCACATATGACCGATTTTCTTCTCTCTCATCTACTTGTGAACTTCTTGTAACTGCCACATAGTTTTACTGAATCAATACTTATTTAACTGGTGGAGGAAAAAAATAATTTCATTCACTGACAGTAGTCCACACACTAGGTATTGTGAACAATTAATTCATTAGTGATGGATACTCCTTGAAACCTGCACATTCATTTGTCTATGTATTCAATGCAGATTAGT